CATACGAAGGTAATTTTACCTGATGGCAGAGTAGTTACTCGGCACGAGGATCACGTCGTCATCGCTCCGTTTCAACTTCGCCAGATGACGCGTCCTCAAACCAGCAAACTGAGTTGACAAACGCGCAGAACTCTCAAAACTGGCCGATCAGAGGCTCAGCAATGTCGCTGTTCATCTCGGCTACGCCGACCTGTTGACCGACACCAAGCTAGCTGGAGCGGCGCAAACTAAAGTGAGAAGGAATGTGGCATCCTCACGGCCAGTATACTGAGCTCTTTCTATTCGTTGTCCACATCCTCTGGCGTGTGTCAGTAACCAGCTCACCATTTATCGATTGGTTTAGCTTAGAATAGTGGATCAGTGCGTTGTGCAACATGCCGGTTAGAATACAGTTTTGCTTCCCGTGTGCCTGATATGTTTTGCTTTATGGTACTTTGGCTAAGAGCCAGCCGTTGTGCGTTAGTTCCTTAATTGCTAAACTGTGACACAGCCCTCAATCGTTTTCGTGCCGCCGGTCTGGATTCGCTCCCACATGCACTATTTAAGGATGAAGGTGAGGTCCTCTGCAAAGCACTGACTTCCCTATTCGAACATATCGGGAAGCGTCCCGGCTAACTGGAGCGAATCGATTATAGTGATAATATACAAGAAGAGCAGTCGCAGACTGTGCTAACCACAGTTGCCAGTTGTGACAAAATTACTAGCCACAATTCTTGTTCCTCTCCTCACTCTGGACCTGGAATCCGGATTAGAGAAGAGCATGAAGTTTCCGACCAGGATGGAGCTGTGTTAACCATATATTCACTCTGTGGCAGGTGCTAGGACAGCGCCACACGTACCGCAGACCGACAATAGCTGTGTTCCTCGGCTTCAAGACTGTGTTTGACTCAGTTGATCGCTTCTTTTTGTTCGAAGTACGTGTGCGGAAAGCTGTTCTCATGAAATATGTGAACATTGTAGTTGCTTTATACTCAGACACTACGGGCCGCGTCAGAGTCTACGGTGATCAGTCGAATGTCTCTCGGACAACAAGTGACGTTTGTCAGGATTATCCAATTTCCCCATTTTTGTTCAACTTCGTCGTGGACTGCATCATGAAGTGTTCCCTTGCGGAGCCTCACGATGCAGACTTTGAGGTGCTGCACAGTGGATAACTGGTTGGCCTTGATTATGCAGCCGATATCGTCTTGCTGTGTAACGATGTCGCGGTGGCGCAGTCAACTCCGAACAGCCTGTCTAGAGTGGCCCCATTCTTTGGTATGCGCTCCGCACCTTCAAACTGCAAAGTGCTGTTGTGGGACCACCAGACACTTGCTAACCTCTTGACCCTTAATAACGAGAAACTCGAGGTGGTTGATCAATTCACTTTTCTTGGCAGCTGCATCAGCAACGATGGGCGCATAAAAACTGAAGTCAGTTCTCTCATAGCAAAAACCAGAACTGCCTTTTTGAACCTGCGGCATCTTTGGAGAAGGAAGAGAATTTCCCATTGTCTAAAAGGCCGTGTATACAAGGCCACAGTGAGAGCCGTCTTGCTCTACCGTAGTTCAACTTGGCCCCTTCGGTCTGAATATCTAAGGCGCCTTCAAGTCTTTGATCCTCGTTGTCTGCGAAGCATTGCTGGTGTCGCATGACACCATCGTGTCCGCAGCGATGATGTACGTCGGCGAGTAGTAGGTAGTGATAATCACGCTAGCTCCTTAGAACAGTGAATAGCGCTGAGTAAGTTGCGTTGGCTTGGGCACTTGCTGCGTATGCTTGGTCACCCCTTATCTAGGAGGGCTTTGTTTAGTTTGCCAGGTGCAGGGTGGCGCAAGATTCGAGGTGGACAGAAGTTGACTTAGCAACGTGAAATGAAGTCACTAACGACCAAACTGGGTGCCGTTAATCCGTCTCGTCTTCCGGCCTGGAGTCCACGTGACTCGCCTTATGCTTTTCTCGAGACTTTACAGGACATGGCTCGCAACCGACACCAGCGGCGCGTCTGCTACCGTCTCCTAGTCGGATTGCCCGTTTAAAATGTGTTTGGTGCTGAGTTATCTGCACGGTAATGACTGATTATGACACGGGGCAGTGAAACTTGCAAGGAAGCTATCTCGCCGATACCGCCTTATCTTTGTACGCTAGCCAGCTGTTTGTGATGGTATGTTGTCTACACAAGGTGTAGGCGTCTTGACACTGAATGTTTGTTTAGGACGTTAAAGTTTTAAGGTAAGTCCCCCTTCCCTCCCTCTTATTATCCTTTATTCCTTAGGTCGTCATGGTTGTAATGCAGCGAAGCATCAGTTCAAATAGCTAATATACTGCTGTTGTTGATTGGTGTAAGCGTATGCTTTATGGTATACTGTGTATCAGAGTCGTAACTTGGCGGTTGAGGCTGCAGCCACTGTTGCGGGTTTTTAGAGACCTGCTTGATGGGAGAGTGAATAGTCGGCTTCAACGCCAATGAGAGTGTGGGTTGCCTCACCGCTGCCTCAGGGGCCGCTGGTTTGGTCGCCTTGGATCCACGATCAGTAGTCAACTGCTGGTGGTGATGGAACTACACACCAGGTTGAACCACGGAATCATTGGTCTCTTGTATATCGAAAACTGGTTCCGTTTTGCAGGCACTAGTCGTGGTTACTTCATCTGGTTGTGTGTTACGGGGAGGGAACTGCGCGTAAAGTTGATCCCAGATAATATCAACCGAAAGGCTTGACATGAGATCAACAGTAAACACAACCTCCAAAACGTAGTCGTCCAAATAAAACATGAGGCATACGCCTTATGTGCGTCTGGAACCGCAGAGGTAAGCTTCAATCGTCTACCTCCAAGTGATCAGATCCATGTGACTTGAAAAGAGGGAGGACGAGTAAACAGGAATGCCATCTTAAAATCCCACCTCTGTCACCAAATATGTAGTGTGCTACGGTCCAGAAGCAAGGAAACCGGTCAATGGGTTAAATATTACGAGACAATGGGTTCTGGAGTCGCAGCAGAGCAATACGACAACCGACACACCAGCGGGAGCTCAAAAAGAATGCAGTGCGAGGCAGCGAATGCGTATTCGGTCCATATCAACCAGTACGCCAGTATGTGTTAATGAGACAACCAAGAGAAATGTATTAGGACAGCAAATGGGTTAATTAGCGTTCTATTTGGCTAACAAAACATACTAATGGGATTCTCGAGTGAATGCCACTACAATGGAGGAAGGCGAAATGAAACTGCAGGAAAAATAACGAAACGTGATCTAAGTATTGAAAATAAAAGGCGATAAACTTAGCATGAGAAGTTGTACTAAGGGCTAAGCTATAAAGCTTTGTAGCTACTAACCAAGCGCATCCAGTCAATGCTGAAATTCTTACCGTGGGTGCCAGCACGATTTCGAGCAGGGCATTGCGAGCGGCAATTGCTTCACATGGTAACCAGCTCTCAGCCCCAACCCGTGAACGGGTTGTGCAGCTTCTTTGGATGGTTCATTAGGATAGGGAGAGCAGAAAGCATATTTGTCAGCCTCATTGCTTCCCTCTCACTACAGGGATTGAGTTGTTACGATACATTGCTCCACAAGGGACCATTACGGTCGCAGTGGACGCAATATGATCCATGCTTACCCAGCACATAGGTGTCTAGCAATCACTTGGTTTGTGCACTGATAACGAGCTCAGACAGATTAGTCACACACAGGAAAAAATAAAATAGCAAACGAAACGGTGTACTATATCCAAATGCAGAGTATCATTGACACAACCGGTCTTTACCTATAAAATCACTCTGCAGAATCGTACTTTTGGTCATTGCGAGTAAACAAAAGGCCTTTGCAAAATGTTTTTTTCTTTCGCCTTCCCAGGAAACCTACATTGTCATCGGATTCGGAATTATGGAGTGTAAAATTCATTATAATGCCGTTATCTTATATGCGGCAGATTAACTGTGGTGTTTCCTATCCTCGGCTAACGTGTATTGATGATGATTATTTCGGAGACAGCACACGTCAATACGAAGGGTTGAAAAATGAGGTTCAGTATTACATGTTGGTCGCTCTGACCCATAATGTGAATGTCAAACGAACCGGTGGCTCAATTACCTGACCCACAAGTCAGTAGGGATCAAGTCTTACTCGGCAGTGTGATTTCAGAAACCGATTGAGATTTGCTTGCGATGTCACACAGCCATTGCAGATTCGGAGCAACTCGCCGCAGGTGAGTTGGCGGGTTTGCACAAATCTGACCAGGGGCTGTCTGGCTTGTGGCGGACAGTAACAAACCATTGAGCACTGGGAGGAACCATTCCGCCGTCCGAGACAATGCATAGCATTCGTGCTCTACATCAGTCGAGCTGTGAGCTTTATATCTGTTGTCTCCCGTGGTTAAGTTTTGAGGGAAGAGGGCCATCGACCTCTCCCCAATCACAAAAGATTGTGAGACTGGGTTAGTCTAGCCCTTAACCATTGACCTGTCTGGTATTAGTGGCTTTTCTGGCACTTGGAAAGGGCAGTCCAGCGTAGCTCAATGGGTCATGGGTCATCACACCACCTTAAGCTCCAGCCTCGTCGCGATCGCTCGAACTTAACCTTGAACATACCACGTGATTATCGGCATTTCATTTACCACCGAACTCCACGAATAAATATTATTAAAACAGTCAGCGATTCATTGTTAGGCCCCCCTGAGTATCTCCAGTATGTTCCCATTTCGTAGCACAGACCGTTGCAACGCAGTGTATTGCTGTGCTGTCGGTGTGGTGTAGACATTTTTTTATCGCTGCCACTGTCTTTAGGCCCGCTCTGAAGGAACTCATGATGCGTTTCTTTCCCTTTTGTTTTATTGATTTTTAGTAGCTCGTGGAATAGGCTGCGCATTTGAATTCCATCATTTAGATTTTCGCAAACTATCTGGCACTTAGTCAAGCTAGTTTTCATCTACTTTTCTATTGTGTTTCTATCAACCAGCGCACTCTTATTTATCCAATTCTACCAACTCTATTCTGTATTTTAGGATTCCTTCACCGGCAACCAGCCACTATGGGACAGCGCACGTGGAAAATCAGGGTCGAAGTTTCTGGTTACTTACAACCGCCAATTCGTCGCCAAGACCATCAGTTCAGAAGAGGTTGAACAGATGCACCACATGCTAGAAGAATACTACTCAGTAAGCGTTCATTATAAAAACCCTTTAATTTGCTGGTGTTTTAATGGTTTTGCTATCACCTTTAGTTTTTCTAACTGTTGACTTTCAGTTGAAGAGTTCCGGTGTTACTCACTCCCAACACGGCACTACATGATACGTTTTGTCCTGATTTGGTCTCTTCAGTTATTGATAATCGGAGCTGCTGGTGGAACTATGGAAGTAGTGATTGACGCTTGACGCCTTTATCACCAAGGCATTGAGACCATATATATATATATATATATATATATATATATATATATATATATATATATATATATATATATATATATATATATTTGCAAAGGTCTGTTAACAGACATAATGCCATCAGAAACCATGGGATTCAAACGAAGGTACAGAAACAGTAAAACACAACACAATAATGTCCATGGTTTCGTCAGAGGGCGAGATACTATCCGGTTGCCCAAGCCGAAGTAGGGTGTTGACTTAGGGGACACCACCCCGAGCCTTTGGCTGAATAGCCTGCCCGCAAGGCAGCGGAGCGAATTCAGGGAATCGCGCCCATTGGGAGCCGGTGACTGATTGCTTAGTTCATACGCCTTTTGTTTGTTCCTTTGTCAAACAGGGGCCCAATGCTCCCCAGAAGTACAGCATAAGGTTGCTGGAATACAATGCTTCGCCAGAATGAAGCAAGGGGCAGTGACTTTATTTAGTGGCGAGTCACATCCGCCACGTCACAGTGTTGTTAAACGGACATATGTGGCTTTTTATAGGGAGAACGCTTGCCAGGCGAAAACCCACCACGTCCTGGAACACTGCCGCCGAACCATTTGCTGGAACGGGAAAATCCCAAACCACCCAGCTGGCACCACGAGGAGGTTGTTCGGCATTGAGACCCACAAGCTCAAAATTCGCCGGTGACTTTGAATTTCATTGTACACTCAACATACTGAAACGCCTAACTTACCCAACTTTCCTCCATCCTTCTTTGTAGCCGGATGTTTGGATGAATTTTCCTAACTGTATTCAATCATCTTTCGCTACCGTTAGAGTTCATTTCGCATGTTCACCGTTTAGTGATTATGACCGAGCATCGCAGGTGTTCATTTTTATTGTTCTCCGCAAAGTACATTATTTTGCCTTAGTGGGCATCTTTCCACTGCGTTTGTCCATCGACCAAAAGTGGCTTGCGCTACAGCACTCACAGTTCCATCCACACACCCCTTATCCGATGTAGACCCAATGGGGCTTGTGGATGGGAGCAACGTTTCACCAACCGACCCGGTCCACACTCCTTCAACATGCACAGAAACAGCATTCTTGTCCATCTAAACTGGGAATCATGCGTGCCAGACTTACACAAGGCGGGGGCTGGTCCGTAGTCAGCTTAAGATAGGATGAAACCAATCTTAGAGCCTTGCGCCATCACGAATGCCATGTACCCCGTCCCCGTAGCAACGATTCACAGTGCCTCGGAGCCAGTAATCGAGATTGAGGTTGTTAAACAGGTAAGCACCTTAGTAACATTCACATCAAGCGCAGGCATGCCGGGGATTTCAATGAACAGATCAACTCACACGCACACATACAGACCAGCTACAGTGATGGTGTAACACAAGTGTCACATCGACCACATTAACTACCTGGATTAGTACATGTAATTGAATCGGGAGCAGCATACTCACCAAGTGCTGCGCTGATGATAATTACAAGCAGTTAACTCGTCTCCTCTTTCGTGTTGGTCCCACATGCCCACGCTGCTTTCTCACTAAACTGGCTTTGCTCAGGTACTCGCGACCGTGTAGGCCACAGCACCACTTAGTTAACATCGATGGGGTAAACGCCTTCGGTGCCTGTCGCTTCCTTAGCTGGCGTTTCTCTTCCGCATGCACTAGTGACTTCTCCTGCATTTGGGCAACTGCCCTCTTGATTAGCTCTCGCCATTCGTGCCTATCAACTGCCATTGAAATCAACATTAATTTGTGATAAACTCACCCTGATCATGTCTTAGTAACGTAGCTTCGGTTTTCCAACTTATCGCTTTCCTGCACTAAGTTGTCCATATAGCAGCTGCTTGGGTATCCGCATCGAATTCATACGGCCGATATGCCAGGTCTGTCGCAGATGCCACAGATGAAGTATGCACTCCACTGCTTACATGCCACTACGACAGCAGTTTTGTATCAGCATCTCGGTCACTCCAGCCGATGCGCAGAATCCAACACAGGCACTGTTGATGGAAGATCTCCAGACAACGGACCTTCTCCCGATTAAGCGTCCGCTTTTCACCGCCGTATAGAAGAACGGACAGAACCATCGACCTATGTACTCTCAACTTCGTCCCAATATTTAGCTGGCAGTTGCTCCCCACCCGACTCCAGCTTTTCAAATGCGACAACCGCCTTCGATACACTGATGCGCGGCTCGCTGGTCATCTGCTGGTCGGTAGATCTTATAATCCCTAAGTAGCAAGATCGGTAGGTGGTTTCCAAAACCTCATCCCCGATGTGGATTTGTGGCAAGAATACGGATCCCATTACTTATTTAGGCTGAAAAAGACGAACAGTCTTGCTTGTGTTTATGGTGAGCTCGAATTTGGCTGCTGTCGAAGCGAGAGCCATACATTGCAACTCATCCTCTTTGTGTGCAAACAGCAACCTACAGATGGTTATCTCACACATTTGGGTTCTTGTCCCTAAACGATGATTATTCACCAACCCACCATCGATACGGTGCTCCACATGTACACCGTAAACACATGCAGCATCAAAACCAAAAGACATCATTGCATTTGGCTTAATCTTATGCAGAACAGGGGCTAAGACACAGCCTTGCCTCACATCACAGGCAACATCAAAGTCATCCGACGTTTGTCCACTCAGCTGCACCTTCGCCGCATACCACTGTGCAGACATTCAATCAAGCATACAATCTTACTCGGGCAACTAAACTTGCCCGACACCAGCGACAATGGCTTGCAGTTCACTCTGTCAAAGGCCTTAGTGGAGTCGACAAGCGGCGAATACAATGACTGGTGTAGCTATCGGCATTTCTCCTGTAGTTGACAAGCCGCGAACACCATAACTATAGTGCTGCGGCCCGAACGTAATCCACATTACTATTCTGTCACGTTCTGTTTAACGACCTGAGTGACAAGGCGGTTGTGTAGGATACAGGCGATCATCTTCCCCACACAAGTCAGCAAGTTGGTGCCACGGTAATTCGTGCAACATTGCTTGCTCCGTTTACTCTTTCACAGTAGTAGGGCAGGGGCGTCCTTCAAGTCAGTTAGCACTTCCTCTTCAAACTACACGCGTTGCATTAAGTGGTACAGCGTATGTAACAACGCGGGTCTCCCGTGTTTCAACTCTTCTGGCGCACTTGCTGTTTCACAGCTGAGCAAGTGTTCTCTGTGCCTCATCCATAGGTTGCAGTTGACATTGCTAACCCGGGTAGCCATAGTCCTCTCCATCTCCACCCTCCATTCAATAGTACCTAAGGATGGAACTTTAAATTTGCTCCTTTGATTCACGCCAGGCAAGCAATACGAATATACATGCACAGTTTGGTCCGCACTAACCTGTGATCAATGCCACACTCAGCTCCACGCAGTACACGTGTCATGCGCATTTCATTCATGTCACCCCGGTGTGCGCTGACATAGTCGAGCAAGTGTGCGTGACCACTCCGTAGGTGCGTTCATGTAGCTCTATCACGTGCACCCAGTGCAACTCGGGTGTTCATGATCGTCAGGCCGTAAGTGACGCACAATGAGAGCAGCCAGTCACCGTTCCCGTTGGCTGAACTAACACCATACGGGCCGATTACGTCTGTCCACACCGCGGTATAGCACCCGACGCGCGCGTACAAATCCCTCAGTAGGAATAGTCCATCGCTCCTCTGCACAGACCTTGTCACTGAATGTAAAACTGAAATTTTTATCATCATGGTAATATGTTTGGACCATATGTGCTAATAAAAGTGGCAAACCTACCTGTTCCAAGTCGTAGGGTCACCAGTTGTGAGCTGCTGCCAGTCTGCTCTGCCACCAGCTGGATATTTAAGCTGTCGGATAGTGCAAATCCGACTCCATGTTCACGTGTTGCTGTGGCGTTCCGCACCCAGTACAACATGTAACCCGCACTAGCCTCATGCAGCTTCCATTTCCCAGGGAGCCGAGAGTCACTGATTGCGGCAATGTCGATTTCGTAGTGTGCGAGTCCCATCGCGACTAGTGCACTACGTCGCTAGGGGCGTTCCTTCGATTTCCGGTCGCATAATGTGCGCACGTTCCAACACCCGATGTTGTGCGCTTTGCGCGGAGGCATTCGATTACGCCAGACGGTTGCTCTTGTGGTGGCTTGGATTTGAGGAGGTAATGGATTGGGTTAAATGGTTACGCGGAGATCGTGCGCAGGGGAAGAGGAAAGAAGGGAGACTTCAGCGGTAGCATGTTTCCGCTTGTCCCTCTCGCCGTATGCAGCTGATAAGGTTATCATTTTCATAGTGCTACTGCGCGACGGCCGATGCAGCACGGGATTAGTATTATTGACGTGATTCATGGTTGGGAGTTGTATTGCAATACTGCCAGGGCGTATGTACCTGAAAAAAGAACGACTCGGGTCTTTTACCAAAGCCTTCAATTAATTGCACTCCCGTAAAACATGTAGACCGTGCGCTGAGTCAGTGAACCAACGGACCGCGAAATCGTGTGTCCTAGATCTTAGCAAGAAGAAGGGTGTAACCCAACTCCCACCCAGCGGTCGCCAGAAGAAGTGTCCATAACTTGAATCCACATCACAACCTTAGTAGCATATATATATATATATATATATATATATATATATATATATATATATATATATATATATATATATATATATATATATATATATATATATATATATATATATGGTTGTCGGCATCACGTTCTGAATTCGTTTGTCACTGCGGCATCCTTAGGACAGCCACAGGACGCCTGCGCCTACAGAGGGACCATGGATGGCTTGTGCTGCACCAACCACAGCTCCATCCACACACCCTACATCCAGTGTACACGCGAAGGAGTAACACCGGGTGGCATGTGAATGGGAGCTACGTTTCATCAACGGAGCCGGCCCACACTCCTTCACAGACAAGCACACGCACACTGTATTTGGGAATCAGTCGCACACAAGTCGGTGCCTGGATCGTAGTCCGCTCCACACTGAATGCATGAAACCGCTGTTCGTGCCTAGCACGGCCACGAGGACCGTGCACCCCGTCCCCTCGAGAAATGACCGATCAGGATGGACGAGGTAGTAGTGGGTAGTAGACAGGTAGGCACCTTGTCAACATGCACATCAAGCGCAGCCACACCGGGGATATCATGCAACAGCCAATCACTTGAAATGAGTATAACAAATAACATCTATCGAATTAAGCATACGGAAATGCTTACATAAATCTACGCTAAATGAGCATACCTACTAAATTGGTTACTAACAAATCTCAGGTAAGTGCAATTTGTCAGAAAATGTATTTTTCATAATGCCACAAACGCAAAAATGCTAGCGAACAATTAGCTTAAGCAACGTGTGCAATTTCAGTTAAACGTTAAGATGGGGTAAGAAAAACATATGCATTGCGACACGATAGCCAACCCACCAACTGAAATGCAACTCAACACGCAAGCACGCGGTTAGTAAATCGAGTGCAGCGTATCTACCAACGTTGCGCCGGTTCTGTCTACGTTCTCTGCAGGACCCATCGTCGTTTCAATGCTGATCCCGAGTGGCCTCGCTTGTGGCTCACTTAACCTGCCTGACTCAGGCACTCGCGACCGCATGTGCTACAGCACCATGCGCTCGACGTAGATGGAGTACAACCCATCGGCGCCTGTCACTTCCGCACTTGCCGCTTCTTCTCTGAATGCACGAGGGCTTTCTCTTGCACCTCGCCAACCGCACACATGATCAGGTCGCGCTATGCACGCCGATCAACCGTCTTCGATTTCCATGACCTACAATCAAGATTAGAACGTAAGAGGCTCACTTTGATCATGTCCTGGTAACGTAAATTCGCTTTTCCCACGCACCGCTTTCCCGCAGTCAGCTGACCATATAACAACCGCTTCGGTGTTCGCGTCGAATCCATACGCCACACATGACCGAGCCACCTCAAGTGTCTCAGCAAATGTATGCTGCATTCTTTTCAAACACCAATGCGCCAATCCTCGCATTGTTCTCATCAAACCAATCGGCCGCTTACAGTTTGCGCGCCTAATGGTTTCCTCGGCGGCAGCTGTCACCAGGTCGCGAATGTGATGCTACAGGTCGCCCACTGTGGTTACGCATCCCATTACCTTCTCCAGCTAAATACGATTCACTACAGTACCGAGAGAGAGAATGTTAACTTTACGCTTCCGATTCACGGTGGGCAAACTGTACGCACCTTTCCGCATGAGGACGTACAATTTAGTCCGCACCAACCTGTGGTCAGTGCCACACTCAGCTCCACGTAATACACTTGTCATGCGCACTTCAAGCATATCACGCTGACGTACGATAACCTAGTCGAGCAGGTGAGCGCGACCACTCCGTGGGTGTGTCCAGGTTACTATATCACTTGCCATTAGTGCAAACCGAGTGTTCGTGATCGTCAGGCCTTGAGTGATACACAGTGAGAGCAACCTGTCACCGTTCGCATTCGCTGAACCAATGCCATGCGGACTGATGACATCTGTCCACACCGATACATTCCGCTAAACACGCGCGTTGAAATCACCCAGCAGAAATAGTCGGTCACTCCTCGGCACAGACCTTATCGCGGACGACAACTGAGTATAGCATTTATCACGCGTGTCATCAGGATAAGAAATCGTGGGACCGTTCGTGCTTATAAAAGTTGCAAACTTACATCTTCCGAGTCGTTGGCGAACAGTCATCAGTCGCGCGCTGATCGGATAGTGCAAATCCGACCCCATGCTCACTTGGTGCTGAGGTGGCGTTGCCTACCTAGTAGAACGTATAGCCAGCACCGGCATCAAGTAGCTTCCCTTGCTCAGCGAGCTGGGTCTCGCTGAACACCGCAATATCGATGTTGTAGCGCGCAAGTTTCACTGCCACTATTGCAGTTCGTCGGTAAGGGCGCTCACTCCACTTCCGGTCCGGTTTTGGTCGCACTTTCCAGCACCCGATGCTGAGTGCTTTGCGCGCAGGCATACGATTGCATTGGTGGGCAATCGCACGCGAGGTGGACGTTGTGCTTCGGAGGTTTGCTTGAGGGACTCCACTCGGAGCCTTTGGTTTAATAACCTGACCCACAAGGCAGTGGGTGATTTTGAGGTTTGCTTGAAGGACTCCACCCGGAGCCTTTGACTCAATAACCTGACCCACAATGCAGTGGGGAGCAGATCTAGCTCGGGAATGTGATTGCAATGACAGATTTGGATCTGCTTGAGGTCCATCACACACCGTCTTTGGAGATCTGGAACAGTTCCTATATGTTTTACGACCGTAGTAGGATACGCACCTGCGATCATGGCCAGATGCAGGAGCGTTTTGGCGGGTTTGCACCAATTTGACCGGGGGCTGTCTGGCTTGAGACGGGCGGTGCCAAACCATTGAGCACCCGGAGGTGCCCTGCCACCTTCAGAGACAAGGCGTAACGCTCGTGCTCTACGCCAATCGAGCTGTGAGCTTGTAACCCGTAGATCTATTGTCTCACATGACTAGGTTTTACGGGAAGAGGGACATCAACCACTTCCTAACCTCCGAAGAGGATGGACTAGTATACTGTCAGGGCGCCAACACCTGACAGGAAGACAACTCGGGTCCTCACCCAAAGCTTTCGATTGAAGGTACACTCGAAAGGCAGCGGGTCTAGCACTTGGTCAGTCCACGACTCATGCGGATTGATGTCCTGGATCTTAGCAGGGAGAAGGGCGTAACCATACTTCCACTCAGATGTCGCCACGAGGAGGCGTACAGGACATGGGGCCATGGCACAACAGTAGCAACAGTGCGTGGACCATCTGTCAGGGTCTAGCCACCACCAGCCCCAATGCACCCTAGACTATCCCACATGGTGCTGTAGCACACGCGGTCGCGAGTGGCTGAGTCACGCAGGTCTAGTGGGTCATGAGAGAGGTCACTCAGGTTCAACACTGAAACGATGACGAGTCTTGCTGAGAACGTAGGTAGAGCCGTCGCAGCGTTTCTAGGTACGCTGCATTCGATTTACTAAACGCGTACTTGCAAGCTGAGTCTCTTTATTTCAGGTGGTGGGTTTACTTTATTGTCCTAGTACTTTTTATGTTATATTAATGTCTACCTGAACTATCTTCTATAAACTTGCACACGTTACTTAAACTACTTTAGTTAACTTCGATAACATTTTCGCGCTTGTGGCATTTTCTTATCTTTTCTGACGTCTTGAACCTATCGCGGATTTCTTAGCAACCGATAAATTTTAAATGCTCATTTAATGAATACTTATGTCACTATGTCTGTATGCATTAATAGATTTATTTTACTTTATATCGTCGTCTCAAGTGATTGGCTGTTAGTTGATATCCCGGGTGTGGCTGCGCTTGATGTGCATTTTGACAAGGTGCCTACCTGTCTATTACCCACTACCTCGTCCATAAAGACTCTAGGCGACAGTTGATCATTGAATTAGGGGCGATATGCACGGTCCTTGTGACCATGCTAGGCTCGAAGAGTGGTTGTGGAGCGGACAACGGTCCAGCCACCGCTTTGTGTGCGATTGTTTCCTAACTTCAACGTGCTTATGTTTGCCTATGAAGGAGTGTGGGCCGGCTCCGTTGATGGAACGTGACTCCCGTCCACATGCCTCCCGGTTTTATTCCTTCGGGTTTACACTGGATATGGCGTGTGTGATTGAAGCTGTGGGTGGTGCAGCGCAAGCCATCCATGGTCCCTCTGTAGGCGCAGGCGTCCTGTGGCTGGCCACAGTGACAGGCAAATCCGAAACCGGATGCCGCCAACCATATATATATATATATATGTATATATGTATATATATATATATATATATATATATATATATCTTCGGTGTTAATTTGCTTTTATTATGCGAAGTGAAGGCCAACAAGTTTACTTTTTTCCTTCCCATTGATCGATTGTAAGTTCGTAACGGATATCTGTACTCTATTCCCTCTTTTTTCCAGTACATCGTCCACTGCCACGGTCACACTCTTTTGCCACAATATCTTGGGCTATATCGTTTAACTGTGAACGACCAAGAAACTTACATTTTGGTCATGCGCAACGTTTTCAGTCCTCGCTTGCCTGTACACTGGAAATATGATTTGAAAGTATGTTATTTGCTGCTTCGCTTGCTCCCTCTTCTGTATTTGTTAAGATATTTATTTTCTCTTGCTTGCGTGCACTCTCACTTTTAGCCTTTTCTTAGTCACCCTTGCAGCAGGAATAAATCCAGGCAGAAATCTATCGGGCGACATCAGAGTCTTCACAGCAATCGTTTGCAACTTAACATGACGAGTGAAGTAAAGCTGCCGAAAAGTGGTGCTAGACTCAGTTATCAGCCTTCCATCTGTGACGTACGTTAGCTGCCACCTGGTGTCATTACTTGTTTGCTTGCGGAACACTTCTCGTTGTCTTCGCCATCTGTGCTTTTATTTTCGCCACTGCTAACCATATTCACCTGGACTGTTAGTACCTTTTCTATGGTGATTTCGATATTGATTCACTCACGGTGCTCGACGTATACATCATTTCGGTTGCTTTTGTCCACTTGTTAGTCACTGCCCTTCTGCTCCTGCATTGATTCACACATGAGCTGCTGATTTGGTGGTTTTAATTTGTTCTGCCTGCCTCTGCCTCCACTGGTCGCGTGACTTGATATCTGTGTTGCTAGCCTTTAATGATGCTGGGGTCCGGAGGATGGTGAACCCTCTTGGTTAGATACATTTGTTGACATGGCGAAGAGCCGGCTTCAGTGGTTCAGTTGTTGTGGCGTTCTCCGAGCTGGGCAACTTGGTTGCAGACGTTTCGCCATATGCCTATATAAGGAACGGAGTGGTTACCGACAGTATCCATTATTGGGTTTGCTTTCTACCAGCTACTGCTACTTCACTGCTATCAATCCCGCACTGAAGATGCCACCTCGAATGGTGACGAAACGTCTATAACCAAGTTGCCCAGCTCGGAGAACTCCACAACAACTGAGCAAGCCTCCCGAGCTACCAATATTCCAATTCATTTCGGCTTCAGTGGTGTTAGGATTGTGAGTTTCTTCGTCCTTCCTCCTCCCGCTTTTCTTCCCAATGAGGCCTTATTTTACCGTGGTGCGATGCTTTGAGTGCTTCAGGGATCCATTGAGCTATGCTGGGTGCTACTTTTTGCACTTTCAGATTCACTCATACCAGCTTGCTCAATGGTTAGAGTGTAGACAAACTCAACCTCCTCGTCCTCCAGCATGGGGATTGGAATGAGGGTGGCTCCGTATACCTTAAAACGCGCTTTTTGTAGCCCAACGCCAAACCCGCTGCCTAGCAGTTAGGTTGTTGAACCAAAGGCTTTGGATGAGAACCCTAATCGGTCTGCTGTCTAGCTCTCGGCAACTTGACAGTATCTTGCCTACGCATTACTATGAATCTTTCGTCAAATAATTTACTGATGCTCTATCCACCGCAGAGGATAATCAACGGTGCCCTATCAGCTACATCGTGCAGGGTGGATAGACGTTTGGATGCTACTGCTCAAGCTTACCCATCTTCTTATTCCCCCTCTTACGCTTTTCCACCCATAACATCCCGTTTCACTTGCACTTTTATCCCCCTTGTTTTCAACCGCCAATTCTTGGCCCTCCCTCAACATCCTTTGATATTTTTTCACCTTCTAGATTTAACTCTAATGGGAACGCGAAGCGTCATTCCTGCCCTATCGACAACCCTATGTCCAAGCAAACGGTCAGGCGCAGTTCATCTCCTTCCATTTCATGCCCTCCATTCTACTTCAGATTGGCATGCCTCAATGTACGCACATTGCTACAGATCGGTCAACAGGCAGCACTTGCCCGGACTTTAGAGACCCTCTCGATTGATATCTGCTGCTCATCGGAGACCCGCCTGCAAGACTCGAGCTCTGTGATCCCCTTCACGTGACACCAGTAGCACTTTGTCATTGCCCCTATCCGGTGACGATGCAGCTTCGCGCACCGGCCAAGCTGGTGTTGGCATTCCCCTGAGTCCCTGGGCTGAAACTGCTCAGGTTGATTGGATCCCAATCATTAGCCGGTTGTGTGCGGTCCGATTGTCTGGCTCGATTAATGCTTCGAAGTCGCGCGGGACTTACAGGCGTCTATTCGTCATCGCTGCCTATGCGCCCACAAACTCGAGCGATGATTCGGTAAAAGACGAGTTCTACCTCCAACTGCCCGAGCTCCTTCGTCACAGAAGAAGCACGGACACTTGTGCTAGCTTGGGATCTGAACGTACAAGTTGAAATGTTGTCCACTGATGAACTGCATCTGGGCGGTCAACACGGTGTAGGCTCCCGTAATGATAACGGTGTGCGGTTACTTCATTTGTGTGAAGATGCTCGCTTATTTCTTGCGAGCACTAAGTTCCGACACAGCACCCGCCGAATGGTGACATGGCGCCAACCAGCCTTGGACGCAAATCGATCACATTACAATCAGTTACCGATGGAGAGGCTGCGTCCAGAACTGTCGCTCGATTTGGAGCACATGTGTGGACACCGACCATGCACTTGTATCTGCTGACCTGCGGATGCGTTTTGGCGGACGCCCACGACGATGCTGTGAGCGCATTGACACCAGTCAACTGGCGAAGCCACCTATTCTGAATGCCTATCGAAATGCGCTGACATGCGAGTTGAGTAAGAGGTCACTGGATACAGTAGAAGCTCACTGGTCTCAGGTTCACCAGACCTTACTAGCAGCAGGCAAATTCTCATGTGGTAAGTATAATAGCCAACATGGACATTGGGTCTCTTCGCAGTCTCTGGAACTTATCGATGCTCGCCGGCACATTCTGGCTGGAAGCGAACACAATGGAACTCGCAAAGAGCTTCGGGTAAAACTCCAAGCTAGCCGTAAGTGGGACTGCGCATCCTGCCGGTCTCCTCCTGCGTCAGACATGGAAGTGGCCGCTGCCCTTGTTAACCATCGGAATTTATTCCGTCTGATACGGGAAGCGGGCAACAGTGTTAGTGAAAAAATTTATGACGAGAGTGGACAGCCTGTCCACAATTTGTCAAAGCGTTTGTAGCGTTATGCTGAGCATTTTGAATCGCAATTTACTCAGTCCGAACTGTTCGATTCCTCACCAGCCACTGATCGCCCTGCTCTGTGGGCTGTCCCTTTGGATCCGCCCTTTCGCTCGGAAGTCAAACGTGAGATTGAACTGTTAAACTTAGGTAAAGCTGCGGGACTAGTTGATCTATATTCAGCCCTCTTCAAATTCGGGGGTCCTGCTTTTGTTGATGATTTACAGGAATTACTAGTGAAACTGGGAGTAGGAAACTGTCCCAACCGACCGGAGCCGCTCGGTTATTGTTCCAATCGCCTCCAAGTTACTTGCCTCTGTCGTCCTTCACAGACTGACTGGCGCTCCTGAAAGACAGATTCGTGAAGAGCAAGACGGGTTTCGTGGAAGTCATGACTGCATCGATCGCACATTTACTTTGCGTCAACTGTTGGAGTACTGTCACACATATTGGTGGCCCATCGTAGTCGTGTTCCTCAATATCAAAGGTGCATTCGATTCGGTGGATAGACGTGCCCTTTGGACTGTCTAGTCAGGAAAGGTGTGCCTGAGAAATATGTAAATATTATCCGAGCAGTATATGCGCGTAGCTCGGGCAGAGTGAGCACTTACGGCCAGCTGTCGTCGCCGTTCAAATATCTCCAACGGTGTGAGACAAGGAAGCCCATTGTCACCTTTCCTCTTCAGTTTCGCTATTGACGAAGTCATTGAGATTGCAGTTACAGGCCACGACTTAAAAGGTCTGGAGTTACTCTAAGGAGAACGACTTCTTGACTTGGAGTATGCAGACGATATTGCCCACATCTGTGACAGCTCCCAGACGTGCCAAGCTGCACTGGACTGATTATCACTGGCTGTCAGCCTCTTCGGGCTTTGCTTTGCAACATCGAAGTGCAAAGCGTTCCACCAAGATTGGCCCGGACTGCCTCCTGCGCTGACCCTTGGTGGAGATCAGTTGGAAATCGTTCAAAAAGTCAACTACCTGGGAAGTTGTATTAGCGTCCTTGGGATCGAAGATGAGATCACGAGCCGTATGGCAAAAGCTCGAGGTGCTTTTGCTAACCTTTGCGAATTATGGCGCCAGCGCGACATCGCTCTCCCTGAAGGGTAGAGTGTACAATGCAGCGGTACTTTCGACCCTACTGTACGGTTGCGAATCCTTTTACCTTAGATCAGCGGACCTAAGGAGGCTAGTTACGTTCGATCATCGGTGCCTTCGCAATTTGGCTCACATTTTGTGGGAAGACCGCGTGAGCAACGAGCGTGTTTGACGCCTTGTTTACAGCACATGAAAAGGAAATGAACCGCTCAGGATCGTTATTTCACGCACCAGGCTCCGAGTGCTCAGCCACATGTTACGCATGCCAGCCCACCGACTCCCGCGACGTGCGTTGTTTGCGCGCCGGGGGTGTGGATGTAAGAAGGCGTGAGGTGGCCAAGCGATGACTTGGTCGAGAGGAATGAAGACCCTCACTTCTGAGCTGGTCTCGGTTGGAGCGTCTCGGCTCCCTGGTTGGGGTCCAAAATGCAATGAACACGTTTGACTGGATACACTTTGTGACATGGCTAGGAGCCGACCTCAATGGTTTTCGTGCTGTGAGTTTCTTTGTCCCACCACATCCCTCTTATCCTCCCCCCTCCAATCACGATCTCACTACTTTGCCTTATATTATTTTTCATAATAAATTTTTTTGCTGCATAGTAGCTGGTTGGTAGCTTTCCGCAACGATTCCCATCCGTTGCTGGTAGTTCAGCTGGCTTGCATCTTTTGCATTCTTCCCTTTTTCTTCTATGTATTGCGGCACGGTTGCTGAGGTGTTTTACCCCTCTAGCTAAGTTGTATAATGATGATGACGATAATGCTTTTTTCCCTTTACAACTACCTTCTCCCGTGTGATGTGCCGTATGTTATGCATCATATTACGTTTGTATTTTTTCTGTAATCCACTCCACTTCACTTTTTCATGTATCTTCTTGTGTTGCGGCACATTAATCGAAGTGTGTTTCCTTACCTTCAGGTAGTGTGTAATGATGATGATGAGCGTTTTATAGCCTTTGGATTCATTGTTCTCTCTGCTGAATTTTTCTTCACATTCATACGATGTGCATGTATGCACGCTCACATCACCGTCTCCACCAATACATGCATCTAAGTCAGGTTTCACGGTAGTGCTCTGTTATCTTTTGATAACACACATCATAGCTATGTCCTAAAACAGAATGAGTGATCTGAGCCGGGCGCACTAGTCGATTTCATCTCCTCCCTTGCTGTGCTATTTGGTATGTATGTTTCGAGATATAATGGTTTTCAACATGCAGCGATGCAATCAGTCTCATTTCCTCGGCCTGAGGCTTCAAATACCTCTGTGCTGCCCCTCCGCTGTGCCTTGGGAGGTGCCTCTGGCGAGTGCTTTTCTTGTCCTGTTTTCTTGAGTGTCATTGCGCGCAACTTATACTTCTGATTCGCCCCACTTTATTTTTCGGATCGCCTCATCATTTCGTAAATTGATTCCGTCCAGGGCTCGGCTGTGGATCGAGAGGCTAATGAAAAAGAAAAGGTGAGTTTTGAATTGTTGTTTGCCTTGAACTATTTCTCAAGTCGCAATGTACTTTTGGTTAGTTATATAGTTGCGTTGTTTAACTCTCCGCATCTGAGTTTTTGTGGGCACCATTTTTATTCATTTAACTGTTGCTCATTGCAAGACCCTTACTTTGTGGATGCTGGATGAATTCCTTTCTTTCGCATGCTACTCCCAATTCGCATTTATGCATGAAAAGTGGAAGCCCCAGTTTGAAACTTACTTCTCCGCTATTACGGCGCCAACTTTGGTGAGGCTTAGGGGTAGTTTGTCTTTGTGGTGGCATTACTACACGTGACTACAACTTAACACGATGCGACGGTCTGCGTGCCTCAGCGATCCATTGGGCTACGCTGGGTGGTGCTTTTGCACCTTCAGAGCAACTCATACCAGACCGGTCAATGGTTAGAGGCCTAACAAACTCAGTCTCCTGGCCTTCCAGTTTGAGGGTTGGAGTGAGGGTGCCTCCTTACTCCAGAAAACGGGTTTTCTGTAGTCCACTGCCAAAACCCCGCTACCTTGCGGTCAGATTTTTGAACCAAAGGCTTCGCTTGAGAACCCTAATCGTTCTCCTGTCTATGCCTAAACAACCTGACGGTATCCTGCTCTAGCCACCGCAGAGGGTAATAAACGATGCCTTATCTGCTGCACCGAGCAGGGTGGATAGTGGTTTGTATGCTACTGCTCAAGCCTTCCCGTCTTCTTATTCCCCTTCGTGCGCTTTTTCATCCTTATGCTCCCGTTCCAACTTCACTTTTAACCCTCCTGTTTTCAATCCAACAATTATTGGCCCTCCCACCTCTTTGCTCAGTAATCGTTCGTCTTCTAATTTCGACTCACACGCAATCGCAAGGCGTCGCTCCGGTCCAGCGGTTAACTTCATGTCCAGCCAAGCGGACAACATCAGTTCATCTGCTTCTATTTGGTGCCCTCGATCCTCCCTAAGACCAGCTTGTCTCAATGTACGCACTTTGTTGCAAACTGACCAACAGACAACACTTGCCCGGACACTGGAGACTCTATCAATCTGTGTTTGTTGCTTGTCAGAAGCTCGCCCGCAAGATTCACGTTCTTTGGTTACCCTCCGATTCCCCACGTGCTACACTGGCGGTATTTTGTCATTGCGTTTGTCCAGAGATGAAGCGGCTTCAAATGCCAGTCAAGCCGGTGTGGGCATTGCTCTTAGCCCCCGGGCTGGATTTGCCTTGATCGATTGGATTCCAATTAACAGCCGGATGTGCGCTGTCTGATTGGCTGGCTCGTTCAAAGCATCGAAGTTGCTTGGGGACAAACGATGTTTGTTTGTCATTGCGGCATATGCGCCTACAAATTGTAGCGCTAACTCGGTGAAAACCACTTCTATCACCAGTTAAACGCGCTCCTCCGTCACAGAAAAACACGGATACTGTGGTACTTACTGGTGGTTTGAACATCAAAGTCGGAAAAATGTCCACTGATGAGCTTAATCTAAGTGCTTAACGCGGTGTAGGTTTCCGTAGTGATAACGGTGAGCGGTTGCTACACCTGTGTGAAGATGCTTCTCTCTTTCTTGCGTGCGTTAACTTCCGACACAGCACCCGCCGGAGGGTGACATGGTGCCCACCAGCTATGGACGCAAATCCATCAGTTTGCGATCAGTTACCGCTGGAGAGGATGTGTACAAAACTGTCGCTCGATTTGGAGCACGAGCTTGGACTCTGATCATGCACTTGTTTGCGCCTACTCCTAGTGCTTTTCGGTGGACGTCCGCAATAGCACTGTGAACGCATGGATATTTACCAGCTGTCGAAGCCAAATTTTCTGTATGCGTACCAAAGTACGCTGGCATCTGAGCTGAGTAAACACCCACTGAACACAATTGAAGATCACTGGTTGCATATCCGCCAGACGTTATTAGCAGCAGACATGTCATTATGGGTAAATTAAATTGCCAATCTGGACATTGGCTGTCTGTCCAGTCTCGGACTTCTGGATGCTCGCCGGCGTTGTCCGGCTGGAACCGAATACAATGAGGCTCACAAAGCTCTCAGGGGGAACTACGTGCTAGCCTTAAGAGAGACTGCGACGTCTGGTGGTTTCATTGTGCCTCGGCAATCGAAACAGCCGCTGCCCTTGGTAACCATCGGAAGTTTTCCCGTTTGATACGAGAAACGGACAGACCATATGCTACGAAAGTGGACAACCAATCCACAGCTTGTCAATGCGCTTGGATCGTTGGGCCGGACACTTTGAGAAGCAGATTTGAGGGTCAATTTGTAGTTCACGTTGTGTGTTTGCAGGCGGGCAACACCCAATTTGCTTCTTCTTTGAGAACCAGTTTAATCAGTCAGAGTTGCCAGTTTCTCCATCGGCCCATAAGCGCCCTACTCCTTGGGCCGTCCATTGGATGCGCCCTCGCGCACGGATATCGACCATGAGATCAAACGGCTGAAATCGAACAAGTCCGTCGGAGCAGATGAACTTCATCTAACCCTCTTCAATTTTGGGGGGCCTGCTCTTTGGGACGATTTACATAACTTACCAGGGAATCTATTGGGACAGGAGACTGTCCCTATAGACTGGAGGCGCTCCGTAATAGTTCCAGTTTTCAAGGGAGGCTCGCGTTCCGGATGCGGCATTCATTGAGGAATCAGTCTGATCTGCATTGTCTCTAAGTTACTTGCATCTGTCGTCCTCCATAGACTACCTTGCACTCGTGAAAGCCTGATGCGGGAAGAGCAATCCGGGTTTCGTTGAAATCGAGGCTGCATTATCCACATCTTCACATTACGTCGGTTGTTGGATCACCGCCACATTTATTGGCGACCCACTGTGGTCGTGTTCCTAGACATCAAAGGACCTCTGAATCGGTTGATCGATCTTGCCCTTTGAACTGTCTACTCAGGAAAGGTATGCCCGAGAAATATGTAAACATTATCCGAACGCTATACGCGCGTAGCTCGGGCAGCGTGAAGGTTTGCGGCAAACTGTCACCGCCATTCGCTAGCTCCAGCGGTGTGAGACAAGGTTGCCTGCTGTCACCTTGCCTCTCTAACTTGGCTATTGACGCGGTCATGGAAACGGCGTTCGCTGGACACAATTTGGATGGTGTGGATCTGCTCCTAGGAGAACGACTTCTTGACTTGGAGTTTACCGACGACATTGTACTCATCTGTGACAGCCCCCGAACGTGCCAAGCTCCACTGAATAAATTAGCTCTGGCTGTCGGTCGTTTCAGGCTATGCTTCGCACTATCGAAATGCAGTTCTCCAAGATTTGCAGGAACCCACTCCTGCACTGACCCTTGGCATTGATAATTTAGAAGTCGTCGAGGAATTCAAGTATCTGGGCAGCTATTCCAGCGCCCATGGGATTGAAGTAGAAATCATGAACCGTGCAGCTAAAGCTCGATGCGCTTTTGCTAATCTCCGCCATCTCTGACACCGGTGTGACATTACTCTCGCTCTGAAGGGCAGAGTTTCTAATCCTCTCTTTTCTTTAGCTTTCCCCTCCAATAATAATCAAAAATGTGATCTTGGCATCGTGTTCCTTATTTATAGCTTTTCAGCCTACGATGCTTATTGTCTTACATTTTTATATTGTGACACATTAGCTGAGATGTATTTTTCAACCTCGGCTAACGTGTATTGATGATGAATACACGAAGAAAGAACCGAGCGACTTAACCGGTGCCTCTGTGATATGCTGTTTGCAAGTATGGTAACGTTGAAACACGTGGCGATGGGAATAGATTCGGTGCATACGCTTGTTTCTCTAATTCTCATCCCACGAGGATCAGTGACGCACGCAGCACAATGTGCGATTATATTTTGGAGGCACCTAAAGCAAGACCGGTATAACGATGATTTTCATTAGACGTCGTTTGGCTTTTTCATGGTGAATACAAAGGTCGAGAATCGTCAGTTACAGCGCACATTTTTCGCCAAATTTTATCGAACACATTAGCCGAGGTGATCACTAATGAGCCACTACCATTCCTTGGCAACAATCGCGAGAGGTAGTTTGTCCAGTTACTTGTTACTCATAGATATAGCTAACTCGTATCGGATCTCATCGAAGGCTAGGCTTGTTTATCTAACGTAAGAGGGAAGTTCGAGCGATCCCACTGGCAATTCTGCTCTACTGAGACGACCGAATAGCTCTTCGAAGTGTTCGACCCAGCATTCTAGTTGATGTGATGGAGGCGGCATCAGTTGTCCATCCTTTTTATTCACAGGGACTTTTCTTGGACCCATTTGAACAGTACTCTGACGTTCCAAATGACACCGGCATTTTGCTTCACACGAACCTTTGTCACCGACCAGAGCTACCGGTCTGTTCTCAGACTACCACTCATTTGATTAACCGCTTGTTACGGACATCCTGAAACTGGCAACCTTGTATAACTCTTTCCATTGTTTTATCTAAACTAGTCGAGACTCCAGTATGCACACTGCAGGCTGACAGAGCAAGTGGTCTCGGTTGCTTATTGTGTGGCACATTAGGGGCGATTCCAGCAGTCAGCGTTCGGCTTGCCTTTGTCCGTGGTGATTGCTGCTACAATTCAGATTGTTGTTTCTGCTTCACGACTTTCAAATACGGTCCATAAGCACGCGCATTAAGCGTTGACCAGTTAGTTATAATTGGAAGATCATTATGCGGACACTCATGTGATCATCGCGGCAATGGATACAAGTGCTCCAGCTCGAACATCGGCGTGGCATTGAAGTGCACCATTTTTAGTTGATGGCGATGTGATCAATTTTAATTCAGAGCAGGCTATTGTTGGAAGGCCGGAACAAGTGCTATAAAGTTGGGCTACTGTTATAGAGGTTTTGGCCGGTGCGCAGCTAAAGAAATTGGTCACCATCATCAGCACGACAAGTATTGAATCCAAAACGGCCTCCGGAGCGAGGATGATCATTCATCAAGCTATTTAGTTAGTTCGCTTTCTCTTGTCATTTAGCACCATTTCCTCTTCTTGCTGCCATGTCTCCAGT